ACCAAACCCCTCTCAGTTTCACACTGTCTGGTACAGGTGAAACATCCTCATGGACTGAGAAGCTGAGCTTCCCCTACTGGACACCAGAAAATCCATTCAGAGGACAGAGGTTACGGATACATCAACACCAAGGGCTCCAAAGTAGCTCTCACAGGAACATACAATTTTTCTCAATCTTTGCCAAGTCTCCACCACATACTTTTCTAACGTTAATGTTTCCTTTGGAAAAAAACAGATATTTTAAACTTTCTTTTCCAAATAGATTATTTTACCACACAGTTAGAAAATGCAAGTTCTCTTTTGCACTTTGGGAAACATTTCTTTTGCAGACCACTGCTGTATTTGACACAAATACATTGTTTTACATTAAATCCAAACCCAGTAAAGATGGCGATACAGCTCCAGCAAGAATTCTGCAGTTGCAGGACAGCCAATCAATATTGCATTTTGCCTCAGATGCCATTACCATTTTTCTCTCAAAACTAATAAAATTTGACCTGTCCAGTGATTAAATTTGTATCCATGGCAACATTCTGAAACCTCAGTCAATGTAAATATCCTCTGGCCCATTCAACAAAGGTCTCTTAAAGATGACATGGTAAAATTCCATTTGTGGCCACCTTGATTCTCTTTCTGCTGAACTAATTAGTATTACAGAAGGACCACAAGGTAGAAAAAACAAATAAAAAGCAGAATTGAAGAGAATGCAACACCTCTTCATCTCTCAGCAGGTATTTATGACAGCCTAAAAGGTCCATTTTAAAGAACTTAAATGCTCAGGCTGGCCCTTGGTGCATTCTATTGAGCATATTAAAAGATACATGGGGATAATATGACAATCTGTCTTTTAAAGAAAGGCATGCAATACACAAAAACTACTATATCTGTTAATAGTCATTCTCTCAACTGCTGGAATGAATTCCTCCACTCACTTGTATTGACCACAGATTTCATACTAATAATTTCCATACTGAAAAAAAACATAAAACCAAAAATGCCAGGGATGTAATTTTCCTACTGACTGTTAAAAATGTATTAACATAAATCATTGCACATAAATGATTAATGATTCTCTGAAAATAAATTCAACATGGATTAGTAATAGACAAGCTTGAATGGTTTTTCAATAAAATTCTTAGGTCGTTTCACATCTACAGAAATAAGTTTTAAGAGCTCCCCTGGCTCATATGTGCCACAGACTGGTGGCAGTGCAGAGCCAGGCTGGGTGCACTGTTCTGTTCAGGACATAAATGACAGCCATCCCTGGCCACTGCAGGTCCCCTTTGCTTAGAGGGCTCAGCTGTACATTTCAACCGTCTCTTGAACCTTATTTTCTTACACTGAACCTGTACTGACCACAAAGAAAACAGGCAGAATGCAATCAATATGACTCTGCTCATGACTTGATTGTTGCTTGATTCTGTATTTATAAGAAATCCGGAAACTAAGGCTCATCATCTGCTCTTGCTGGGAATTAGCAGGTCTGTACAGGAACTCAGAATTATGATGCATTTATAAGCAGTATTTAATAAGGAACTGTGTTAGCCATGATGCTGTTAAGAAGATAATGAGAAAGGAAAACCAGAATTATCTCATCAAGAAAAGAAACAATAATGTCTGTAAAATAGTGAATGAGTCCAAGCACACCTTCCCTCACTTCCAGAGCACAAGGCTGGCTCATCTCCCATGAGGGCAGAGATGCCATCCCATAGACGGCCTGTTGTTACAGATGCTCTTCTATCATCAGGACCAAAAGTGGCTGGAGAGAAGCCAAGGTTAAAAGGAGACCTACAGAAATAAAACAGCAGCAGGAGAGCTGAAAGAAGATTGGCACATTTTAAAGCAAGCAGGCTGATTATGCAGGAAACCACAGAGCCTCAGCTCAGCCTTGGCAATAGCTAAAGGTCACCCTGCTGCACACGGATGTGCCCCAGGGGACCTGCAGCACTGGAAAGAAGGAACACATCAGTGCCTTCAGGTGAAAGAAAGCAGGATGTTCAGCCAGGAAAACTATGCTAAAAATACACTTTCTGAAGGCAGGTGAGGAAGAAATAGAAGTGGACAAAAGGGAAATAACAGGTCACTAAGCATTCATGTCAAAAATACCACAGGTTACAGACCTTCAATCCTCCTCATTAAGCCACCGACAGGGTGAAGAAGGGAGTGTTCACCTTCTGCATTTTAGCTGGCATGTGATTTACCCTACAGGAAAATCCTTTGAAGATATTCAGGAGGCCCTTTTTTATTTGAAAAGCAGAATTTTACACTGACATTAGTAGCAGCACAGCCCTCTTGGGGGCCATGCAAGTAAAATGCATCCCTAGAATGACATTAATTTGAATTAACTATCAGCTTCTATACAGCTGTTAAAACTCTGCACATGAGCCCTTCTGTAGATGTGAAGTTCAAGCCAGGGTTAAGGTGAATTTACAATGTAAAATGTGACTGTACTGATTATTATTTTATAGCACAGAGCTATAAATTTGAAAACAAACCCCTGAGTGATAATGGAACAGGAAGGGGCAATATTGAGTATTTGAACCAGATGCCTTGATTCCAGAGGCAGAGAGTCAGTTCACAGAGACTTGAGAACAACAGCCATAAACATGAAGGACGATAACAGAGGTGGCTTTCACAAAAATATGTTCTTGTTGATGAAAAAGGGAGTCCTTTACATAGGATTATTTCTCCTGTATTTCTGTGGAAAAATGATCTCGACTTCTTTACTGAGCCATTTCTCACCAAAATCCTCATTAAAAGGAGAGTCCCAGAGATTTCATGTTATTCCGGCTAACAATACCACACTTAGCTCCAGTGGAGATTGATATTGAATTACCCTTCACCATTCAGCCTCTTAATTGAAATTTGTCATTCTAACAACCCCAGAGCACATTCAGCTGTTTCACAATCATCTACTGCAATTCTGAGGCTGATGTAGGAAACATGGCATGGAAACACAAGGGCTCAATTTTTTTTAAACTGGCTAAAATAAAGTTTATTTTACTGTTACAATATATAATCTTTTATCAACACAACTCACGAGGTGTTTACAAAATAATCTCATTTTCTGCTGCATTTTAAACACTACTTTTATACAAACTTTAAAGGTAAAATAGGAGTTTGTAGCTAAAAAGGCTTTTTGTTACATTTTTTAGAAGCATCACAAGAATTACTTCAAACAAAATTTTTTTTTCTTATGGTGCCAACTTCACAGACAAAACAATGCTTATTGTAAAGACCTGAGGGAGGATTCATGAAAGCTTTCTTTAGACAAAGGATGCCAGTCCTCTTAGGCTGACAGTGAACAAATACATTTGAGCCCTTGCAGCCAGGAGGGCCAATGGAATCAGGGGGTACATTGGGAAGAGTGTGGTCAGCAGGTCACAGGAAGTGATCCTACCTCTCTACTCAGCCCTGGTGTGGCCACATCTGAAGTACTGTGTCCAGTTCTGGGGTCCTCCATACAAGAAAGACAAGGAGCTCCTGGAGAGGGTCAAGCAGAGGCCACAAGGGGTTCCTCTGCTCCTTAGGGACACTTCAGTGTCCCTCGCTGCTCCTGGCAATGTCCCCTCCATGCCTCCAAGCCAAAGGCTTCTGTGTCTGGATGGAACTTGGGGCTGCTGCTCAGGTGTCCCCGAGCTCCAGAACCCCTGTACAGCTCAGTCAAACCCTCACCCCTGGACTGAGTTGCAGCCTCACCAGCTGACTGAAAGAAAGGAAGTAGGACTGGAAGAAGGAAGAACTTCTTTACATTGAGGGTGGCAGAGCACTGAACAGGCTGCCCAGGGAAGGTGTGGAGTCTCTCTCTCGCTGCAGACATTCCAAACTCACCTGGACACATTCCCGTGTTACCTGCTCTGGGTCACACTGCCTTGGCAGGGAGGTTGGACTGGATGATCTCCAGCGGCCCATCCAACACTAAGAATTCTATGCTTCTGTAACTTAGGTGATCTGAAATGCCTTACAAAGGAATCTCCCTTTTCTCTGCACTGACTGTAGGGAAGGGAAAGAGCCTGGTGCCTAATGGAAACTTTCATGAATCCCCACACTGACAACCCAGTATGCAGCAAGACCAGAACACACAGAGCTCTCTGATCCTTAATGCTGCACAAGACAAGATGGAAATACTAAACAGAAGAAAATTTTGAAGTGTTACAGTTGTCACAAAACCTAGTATTTTAACATGTTAAAATTAAAGTCACCTAATGTCCTCTGTGAATCTGGTAGCAACAGGCAGGTATTACATTACTCAACCCAGGTCTCCACTACAGTGCACTGAAACACATTAGAAAGAGTGGAAAAAGTGACCATTTTCACAGCTGCTGGAGAGGTATGTGCTAAAGTGAATGAATTTATGCTCCTGACAGTCAAGTCAGTTGATGGATTTTACATGATAGCAGAATCAGGTTGACAGTGATTAATTTATGTACAGCAAGCAGGTAGAAAGAGGTGCTATGTTTTTTTTTCATGCATAGTTTAACCAGCTTACAGCTAGCTCATCTCCATTCAGACTAGAGATGCATGATCCACCATTTGGTATAAGCCAAACTACCAGCAAATATATTTCCAGTGCAAACAAAATTGTCTTTCTTCAAGAAAAACAACAAAGTTAATGCTACTTCTCAAAAAACAATGCTTATGCTGCATCATTTTCTACCTATTTTGGTCTGCATTTCTGAAGTTTCCTTCCTCTCCCCAAATCACATCCAAAGACAGATGATCACAGTATACTTTTCTTTTAGGCAAATGACTGTTTCTTCCCCAAAACAAATTATACTGCTCATTGAAGATCATCCCTGAGAGCACTGTTCTAGCTAGACACTTAGCAAGAGAAATCTCAGAGCTTAGAGGAAAAAAAGGCTGTTCACCCTGTGAAATCTTGTGGTTTTAGAAAGTAAAAAAATTTAGCTACTTTGAGCATTTAATTTCCCTGAGATGAGTGAAATTTGAAGACAGTAATTTGTAACATGAAGCATAGCAACATCTACAGCTGTACTTACAGAAGCTGCAATTTTTTACAGTGGTAAAGTCAGATGTTACTTTACAAGCACACAGCAGTTAGTGGTGGTTCCTTTCACTTGCTTCCTGCCACAGGAAATGCGACGGCTTCTTTGGTGAGAAACAGCAGTGAAGAAGCTCCATGACTTCAGATTCGTTCAGTATCAGAAGATGCCTTCTGATATTCCAGACACCTTTAAGTTAGTGGAGATACCACCAGGCCATAGTGCAGTACAAGTAGACCATCCTAGAGAGAAGAGAAATAAACTGTCTCATCATAGCACTTTCCCTCCTCCATGAGGCATTTCTGTCACCACCTGGTACAACAATTGCTCCATGGCAGGACCCCAGCTACAATCTCACCATTTTATACCGTGTCCCTTCCATATGGAGAATGCAAGGTTTGAAGTATCAAGGCAAATAACTGTATCCCCCTCTCCTCTTTGAGATGGAAAAGGGTGTTAAAAAAAAGGTAAAATCTGGTACTGCTTTTATATTAAAGACATAATGGCATCATCATCATACAATAGGCTCTTGTTTAAAAGCTGTGCTGATTTCCACAGGGTACTGTGGAGCAGAAAAAAATGTAACCCATTAAGTAGTTCTAGAAGGTGCTGCCAAAAGTTGCCCGAGAGTCCAGACTACTACCATATACATTTATTAAGTAGTAAATGCATTGGATTAAAAAAACCTCCAAATGACAAACTATTAGTTTATTAACTCATGTTTCTCCTCTTCAAAGATTGTCGACATAATAAAAAATCCCTTTCACCTGTGAAACAGGACGCTTTTGACCCATTAGCCTTACTTATGTCACAGGCAGCTACTGAAAGGCCTAGCACTTCCACCATAGACCCACTGGGAATCTGGCACTGCACTGCAACTATTTATATGGACAGATTTTAAAAGAACTTCTGTTTTGAAGAGAGATCTACGTTATTACCAACTGACATGTTAGAATTTTTACTGTATTTTGCTTCAGATGTTTTTATCTGTTAATACACAGGATGTAAGATAATGTATTAGTACTAACTAACTTCATCTTCTCACCCTGTTAATAACCAGGAGTCCATTGCTAACTCCTGAAAGGACACAGGAGGAGACAGGAGCTTTAACTAACTAGGTGATTAGCATAAATTGGGATAGCAGCATTGCAAGGTAGAACAGGTTCTAAGAGGTTATTCAGGAACCTCTTGGCACATAAAAACATTGTTATACCTTCCCAAAGGTACTTATTCCTTGTGCCCACTAGTTCCTTCAAAAGAGAAAATAAGACACATTCAAGACTTTATTTTTGGAGAAAAATTGTGGTCAAAACCACTTTTCCTCTATTTTTCAGTTTCTTAAAGGAAAGAAGTATTTCTAGAAGAAGAAAATGCTGCAATGTATTTTCTTTGATAAATAATTTTAAAATGGTACATAAGGCAGTTGGACATTTAACGGAAATAGCCCTGTTAAACCCAAGGCCAAACCCACAGCAATTCCTTCTCTACAAAAAGAAGCTGCGAGTTACCCTAGTACTGGCACTTCTTACTCTATAATTATTCACTTGTAAAGTATTATACATTTCTATCTATGTTCAGCTGCTTTCTCTAGATACTGTTATTAAAAGAAGTCCAAACAGAGAATGAGTTATCACTGCCCGTTACAAACCTCAAGGTTAACTTAGGCACAAAAGCAAAGCTCTCCCGTGTCCTTGGACAAACATTTGTGACTCTGACCTAAAAAACTACAAAGGATTCCACCTGTTACACCCAACTATAAACTTTAAAGTTGAACTTACAGCCCAAAACATCAGCATATACAACCCTTTTGATGTTCTAAGAGCAGCAGCAACAAAAAGTGCCCCACTTTCCAAATTCAATAACCCCATAGCAAAGAGTAAAACACTTCCATAGGAAACGTGTGCTAGAAGGTCATAGCAATTGAATCAGAGCACAGCTCTTGCTGCCTAGCTCAGGAGACTAAAAAAACAGCACAATAGCATTGGGTTACAAAAAGGTGAGAGCTACAAAGACACCATTATAATCTGCCAAACCTCTGTGCCAAGGGCCAAGGACATCAAGGAAGCTACTCCTTTTAGCTTTTCCCATGTGTGAGCTCATTATATCCATCAGTGATGCAGAACTCTGAGAAGGCCCAGTTTTAAACTAGTGAAAATAACCAGCAGCTTGGATCAGGTTACATTTGTGCAGCAGAGGGGAGGAAGGTAATACAGGGAAGAAGTTATATTCCCATTTAGTTAATAACAAGCTTCCTTTCTCAGCTACTTGATCAAACTCTTAATTACAGGAAGATCTCAACACCTGATAACAAAACCGAGCCTCTAAAAGACTGTCTTTGATCACTCCTTGCAGTAAAGCCAAGTTTTACACTGTTAAAAAAAAAAAAAAAGCAACAAAGTTGTTTCTTATTATATAAATTCTGTCAGTGAGTTTTTTATGGTTTTGCCCAAAACAGAGCTAGAAATCCTGCTTTCAGCTAATTAGGAAGATTTAGCCAACCACTCAGTTTCAGAAGTGGCAAAATATCTTGACATCTACAAGATTAAACAAGATTTTTTCCTGATTCTTTTTTAGCCTTCTATTAACTACTCAGAAATGAACACGTTAATGGCTTACATTCAACCACTAAAATCAGTTGCCTCTGTACTCCAATTAAAACAACCCAAATAGATTACTATGGGGTTGGTGTCAGGAATATTTATTTTATCATCAGATCGCACTTGGTCTTCCCACACTTGTTGGAAAGGCAGAAATGTATCCAGAAGAACTAAAATCCTGCTAGTTTGCATCTCCAGGAAACTTCCATTTACTCAGGCTCTAAGGCATCATTACACAGTGCTAGTCAGTAGGAATAAATAAATAAATAAATAAATAAATAAATAAATAAATAAATGCAACACACAATATTTTCACAAACAAATCTTAAGAACAATTCTTAACCATTCATAGTAAGTAAAAGCCACTAAAACCCCCACAGTGATTATGGTTCAGAACTATAAATCACACACAATATATATGAGGCTGCACTGCAAATGCTACCAAAGAATGCACGTTAAAATTAATACATTTGCCAAAGAGAAACTTATCTGCATTTTTATAATCACTTTTCCCTGCAAGAAGAATAATTGCTGACATGAACGAACTTGCAAGAGAAATATGTGACTTAGAATAGCAGCTATTTTTCCCCTTTAACAGTGGCTGTACTCATCTAAATAAAAGAGCCCAATGTTTATTCTTTCAAATTACTTTCTGTTGCAGAAGTAGCTACTGAAGCTGTATTCTTTGCATGAAGGATATACAATGAACCTCAGAAACCTGTAAATGACAACAGCAGTTTTGAACAGTGTCTCAGCATCCTGGTGAGAGCTATTAGGGACATTCCAAGCTCCAACACTGATTGGGAAAGGCTGGAAAGTTACAAAGGCACAAGATGCCCTTGGAGTTTAATGTAAAATTCATCAAACATTCCTTTGTACTTGTAGTTTCACTGGCCAGGACAACTGTGCCCCTTATTGAATTTCAGGTCATGGTGAGAAACAAACAACCCTCACCATTTTAGACTTGACCTATCCACTGGGATGTTTTTTCATGGGTAATTATCTAAAAATATTTTCCAAGGTTTTTTTTAATCCTACAAATGCATCCTCTGGATTTCTTAAAAAATATTATAATGTTAGACTAAAGAACATGAAAATGTCACAATTATTTCAATATCAAAAAAGAAGCAACACTCCTACTGCAACGATTTGGCATCCTTAGAGATCTTCTAACAATATGAAGAGAAATTAAAGATGAACCCGGTCTTTCAAATTTCCTGTCGAAAGTGACTATGAAAGAACAAGACTTCACAATAAGCCAAGATGTTTCTTTTCTATTTGTCTGTCCAACAGAGAAGCTTTGAGAGAATTAATTGCTAGCATACTGATTTGGTAATAAATGAGATATGAAACATCACTGGAGAATGCACCCAAAGAGAACTGCTCTCTTTGTGGAGCTGCTGACTGGTACTTTATCACTAAACATCAATCAGGCAGACCCAGTTCTGACAAGAAATGAAACTGCTGCAGTATTCCTTGAAGTGATGACCCAAGAGCATTTCTCATACATGAAAAGTTTTCATGCTAAGCTCAAGTCTAAAGCCATATATGTGATTATACCCCTGCTGTTTACTGAAGCTTTTAGCAGAGGGCATTTCCATCACTATGTGCTGATTGCTGAATTTACTTGCAATGACTCGTAGTGTTAGAAACAAGTTTGTACCAGTACCCACTTCCTCCCAGTTTCTATCCCCTGCTCCCCAAACTGAATTAGGTTACATTTTCATTTCTTCTTCATGCTATTATAAAACAGCTAAGACATCAGGTGTGGCATTTATTCCCTGCAACTGCAGAAACTGCACAAACCTCACAGATTTTAATGTTTGCCAACACTAACATGAGCCAAATATCTCTGCCCTGACTCTGGGACCCCTCCTAGTGATTCAGATCTAGTACAAGTGATACGAAGTCCAAGAGATCTCAAAATCAGCTTTTCACTTCCTGCCCCCAAAACAGAAACTTTCCTGTATCATAAGAGAGCTCAGCAGGAATTTTAAATGCAAATGTTTCTGCATGTGTGTGCACAAACAAGTGAGGAGAGCTGACTTTGCTACTATTTTAATCCTTCTGCTATCTGCTAAGATTGCTTTCTAAGTAAAATACCTATCTAATAATATTTCTTCCCACTATATTGAATATTAGCTTTTCAGACTTCCAAGTTCAGATTAAGATACAATTTACCATGTATCACAATTTTACATCTCTATCTTACAATGCACTTGGCAGAGTACTTCATTGCTTTTACAGTACTTTTAAAATGGTGTGATCCTTTAAAGATGCTTTGAAAAGATTTGCAAAGAATTTTAAAATAATGCATTCTTATTTGCAAAGCCAGCAACACTGAAGACAGCAAGTTATCAACAAGAAATACCTGGCCATACACTCATGCTGTGACCAGAGCCAATACAATATGCATAAAGCACATTTACTGCATTCATTACCCTCTATCTTTGGTTTGTGTTTTTATAAGCAAGTCTATTCTCCTCACCCAGTCACAAGGATAGCCTTATTTGGGATTTGTCCTCTGATTTCCCGCAGAGATGCAATCGCCAGAGAGGAAAAACAAAGAATGTTAATTGAAAGAATGGCTGGTACATTTTATCACTGCTAAGATGGCAACTTGTTTGGGGGGAAAAAAAACCTCAAAACAAAACCCAACACAAATCCCTCATATCCAGAGCATCATGAGATGAAGAAGAACATGGTACACTTACAACTCTACTTACAAGATAAAAATGATTTTGCATAAATTTGAGAGATTTTTCTAAATAACTTCTTCAGACAAACTGGTGCTACCTGAGGGCTTAAGAGAGGTCTTCTGTTTTTAAACAAGAAACCTAGAACAAAGCCCCAGCTGCCACTCACCTGTACTGCACTCTCTCCTATGACTTGACGAATTTCCCTCAGTGTCTGGTAGTGCTCCAGGAGGTGATCACCACATATTATATCCACCTGTGAAAAAAAAAGGCATGGTTAAGTCCAACTTGCCTTTGGAGTAGCAAAACAGTATCCAAGCCCTTTCAATTTTATTAGCAGAGCTCAATGCTAGCATGTTAGACACTAAAGCCATCTTTACCTCTGTTGTCCAAATGCGTTCAGCATTCACAGCTCTATTGCACTGCCCTAATGCCTTTCGTGACCCTGACCTGGGCTCACTGCTCAACAGAGAGGACAGTTTATTGTTTCATTCAGTCTGGTGTGTCCACTGAAACAAGCTATTTAGTAACATCTGTGATGAATTTAATGGGAATTTAGATCAGGCATTAAAACCATCACAAACATCTGGTGTCATTCATCAGTTGCAAAAGAGGGAAACTTGTTTTCACCACCACCAACAAAAAAGAGCCATTCCTACCCTCATTCTTATCTTGAGGGAGAAAACATGTGACTAGTCCCACTTAATACTGTGGAAGAAGTGCCTGAATAGAAACAAGCATCTTGGTGCATGCCACTGTCAGCAGTTACATCACACAGTCCTCCCTCCAGCATGCACTCAGTCAGTATTCCTGGGGTGCAGCTGCAGGGCATACTCAGCAGTTCCATGCGTTGTCCTCGACTGCAGCTGAACTCTGTCAGTGGTGTCTGAAATTCCATGGGAGGCACTTTTGTTTAGTAACTGCCGACAAAACAATAACTTTGTGGAAAACACAAACCTTAATCAGGTATTTTGAATTCCTTGCTTTGATTATTATGAAAAATAGGCTTCTCTATAAAGTTACCATAGATTTACTGTGGACAATGTAAATTCCAAATTAGAGCAGCTAACATCACACTGTTTTTTTCTCTCAACTGGAGCTTGCTTACACTTTCTTTATGAGCAATTTCTACATAAGAAAATGAGAGTGCTCTCATTTGTGAATTGACAAGACCCCAAAATTGAAGATAAGAGCATTGACAATGAGCAGTCCCACAGCTTTCTGCAAGGAAGCCGCCTAAGCTCTGCCCCTGCAGCAGTTGGGGAACACACTGCAATATGATGACGTATTGTCTTATACAGCCACTTTCCACCACAGGATACACTCGGAGCTGCAGCTATTCCACTCCCCCAGACTTATCTTCTTCTGCAGGCTGACCTACTACCTCTCTCTTGTTCTTCGTGGAAAGATTTAGTAAGATTTATGCTGGCAGACCACATTGTCCTGAGACTTGGGAATGCAGGAATTCTACTCCTCAGAGGTTCAGAAAGGACTAATTTACTGTACCACCTGTATTGCATGAGAATGATGCAGAATACTCTCCTCATGTTTGATTCTTAATGTGCAGAAGATGTAAACTGCTCAGCAGTACTTCTGCTTTTAGCTTCCAGGAGGACGCCAGGAAGCAAAAATGTGTGTGGACATAACAGTAAATGCTGATTAGCTATTGAACCACACATACTCATATATTTAGCATCAACATTTGATGTATGTAACCCAGCACTTAAAAAATATAAGTTTTCCTTTTGGAAAATTGTCTGCAGTTCTTTCTGCTACCTTCCATGCATTCTTAACCTCTACAGTTATTACTGCAGGAAGGCAAACATGACTGCTTTGCTTTCCAGAGATATGAGTTTAATTACTTTTGCTTTACAAGCTTACTTCTACACTTTTTATAGCATAAGGCACTGTAAATTCAATCTTGCTCCCAATGAAACATAACACATAAATGTTTTATATATTCTACAGAAACAGAAAATCTAATCCGTTTGACCAATAAAGGCTGCAGACAGTCACAGCTGCTGACAATCTCTCAAAATTAAAATGCTTTTTTGAAAGTACACTGTTGTATCTGCTGCTCCATTTTCAAATGGCAGTCATTAAAGAGCCAGTGTCTAATAATAAATTGAGAAGAGTTTTTCACATTTACTGTATTAGAGTTCTCTGAATACCAAATGCTTAATCTCCTAATTTCAGCACCAAAGCCTGAAATTCTGCTTGCTAATTGTTATGCTAGCATTCATTCTACAAGGACAAGAGAATAAAACATACAATGAAAAAAAAAATAGGTCAGTGCAAAAATAATTTGTGAAATGTGTCTCAGAGGAATCCTTGTGTCATACAATGGAATGAATATATTCCGTTACAAAAGAAGCACCAGTACAGTTAGTACAGGATTAAATGTTTCCGAAAATCATGTATAACTTGGCTGAAAAAATGCTTGGTATTTGGGATAGTTTAGCAAGCTAGAATGTTTATAGAAACGGGGATCAGTATTTGGAGTTTCTAAGATACCTATAGATAAGATTCGTACAAGCTCGGGCTACACTCTAATGAAGCAATATCGATAAGGTTGTTAGAGTGATTAGTGTTACAGCTGAAATTGTATAAATATGTGCACTTTGAACAAAGACAGCTGAGCTAGATTTGGGTTGCTAATACCCCTAGTTCCTGCACACTTCAATAAAGCACCTGCCTATAATCTATTTGTGATAATGTGTATTTCCAAATGCTAACATTATTGGCGACCCAGATGGGACCCTGTGAGTGCTGCTGAGTGAGTTTGCGACCCGATCACGCTCCAGCCGGCACTGAGGGGTTCTCGGGGAGCCCATCTGGCCGCGACCATCTCCGCCGCTCACAACATCCCTCTGAGAGGTAAGGTGCACTGAAAAGGTCTGGTCTGGTGCCTCCTGATAAGATGCACTGAAAGCTCTGCACAGTTGGGCTAGAGGAATTCCTGGTACTGCCTAAGTGCCATCCATCAGAGAACTGTGAAAGTGTTGCAGGTTCAGCATCAGTCATGTATTGTAGCTGTAATATGGAGAAACTTAAAGGGATTTGGGGTGGCAGTGCTCCCATACCGTGTACTTCTCCCTTGGGGTGCTTATTAGCACATTGGAAACAGCGTAATTTTGAGCAAGATTTATGTAAGGTTAAGTTGATTGATTATTGTAATACATGGTGGCCAGAATATGTCCTGGAGAGTGGGGAAAAGTGGCCAAAGAATGGCTCTTTGCAATATAACACCATTTTACAGTTGATGTTGTTTTGTAAGCGGGAGGGAAAATGGGATGAAGTTCCGTATGTTGATCTGTTTTTCTATTTGCGAGATAAGCCAGAATGGCAGACTGAGGTGTGGATTGATGATGGTTAAGACATTTGTGAGTGATAAGTATGAGGCTTGTGTAAAAGGGCAGCATTGCTTAGAACGCCTGGCATTGAAAGAGTTTGTGTTGGGGGAATGATATGGATGTTGATTTACAAGTGGCTCCAAGTGAACCAAAAGAATCTGACCCTATTTCTCCTGCCCCTACTTCACCCAATCCTATTTCACCTAACCCTACTTCACCCTTCCCTCTCTACCCTCCTCTCCCACCTTCACCTCATCCTTCTCCAGGAGATGATCAAAATTTAACTGTGATACAAGGAAATTGGAGAAATGCGGGTGAGGAAGATAGTAGTAGTGGGGGTGATGATGAATCAGTGACACCGGCATCCCATCAGACTCAGTCAAAGCTTGCCCCAGTCCTGTCTAAAACAGGAAAAGACTTGGGCAGACAAAAGTGGACTGTGATTGCCCCCTTGAGACAAGGAGTAGGAGCGGAGGGGCCGGTGTTTGTAAAGGTACCTTTCTCTCTGGTGGATTTGGTAATTTAGAAACAATCAGCTGGGACTTATGGGGAAAATCCTGATAAAGTGGCAAGGGTGGTAAAAATGATTATGAAAACTCAGAATCCGGATTGGGATGATATACAAGCAATAGAAGATATTTTAATGGATTCTACTGAGAAAGAGATGGTGCTTAGAGTAGCCATGGAAAGAGCAGGAGAGGATATCAGAAATAGGCTGGTGACAGGGACTTTAGATGAGAATTTTCCAACTGAGGACCCAGAGTGGGATCTTAATACATATGAGGGTATGTGGAGGCTGAAGAAATATCAAGAGTGGGTCCAGATAGGGGTTCAGAATGCTATACCTAAGGCTATGAATTGGTCTAAATTGTATGACATAGGACAGGAAAAGAAAGAATCCCCTACTGCATTTTTGGAAAGGCTTAGGGAAGCAGCAAGAAAATATACAGATCTCCAAATAGACACAGAACAAGCGAAGGTGCAGCTTGCCCCCATTTTCCTTGAGCAGTCTCAGGATGATATTAGGAGAAAATTGCAAAAATTAGAAGGGGAGGAATTAAGGAGTTTGGATAAACTACTTGAGGTAGCCTGGAAGGTATACAATAACAGGGAAAAGGAGGCTAGTAAAAAGCAGCAGCAAAGTCTTTTGGCAGTAATGCAAGGAAAAGGGAATCCAGGTTTCAGAGGACGTGGCAGAAGTGGTCGTGGACTGGGGAGGAGTGGGTTTGGTAGAGGACGTGGGGGAACGGCTATGCCAAGATTAAGGTTAAACCAATGTGCTTATTGTAAACAAGAGGGGCATTGGAAAAATGAGTGCCCAAATCGGTTTAACCAGGGCAGTTAGTCCAACCAGGATCAGGATGTTTCAAAATTAATGGTGTTGGGAGAGTACAGCAGCTGACTAGAATCAGAACAAAAATCAACACAGGAACCTTTAGTGACTATACAATTGGGGGATAAAGAAGTAAAATTCCTGCGAAATATGGGGGCCACATACTAAATGATTTGAAAGGGCAAACTGGGGACAAAACAACAACAATAGCTGGAGCCACAGGGAAGGAGGAACATCAGCCATTCTTTAACCCCCATATTTGTGTTTTGAGAACAAAGTTTTAATGCATGAATTCTTATATGTGGCTGAGTGCTCAATTCCACATTTAGGGCGAGATTTATTGGCAAAACCTGATGCAGTAATAACTTTGAGAACAGGGAACTTTTAATGAAAATACCCGAATCAAAGACAGGACAAATTTTAATGATAAAAGAGAAACCAGTTTCCACCATCCCTAGGGAAGTAGAAGATGCAATAATTCCCTCTGTATGGGAAACAGATATACCAGGAAAATCTAAATTGGCACAACCAGTACATGTGCAATTAAAAGAAGGGACAAGAGCTGTACAG